GGCGTTTCAGTTGGTTCCATGATTTTACAGTTGTGAATTGTGCTGCTAGAAACACGCATGTGCAAGTACCTTTTTCAAATAATGACTTCTTTTTCTCTGGGTAGATACTCAGTAGTGGGATTGCTGGGTCAAATGGTAGTTCTACTTTTAGTTGTTTACAGAATCTCCACACTGTTTTCCATATGTATTTATATGTTTTCTATAGTGGCTGTACTAGTTTACATTCCCACCAGCAGCATGGATGTGTTCTCTGATTGCCACATCCACGCCAACATCTACAGTTGTTTGATCTTTTGACTGTGGCTATTCTTGCAGGAATAAGGTGGTATCGCATTGTGGATTTGATTTGCATTTCTTTGATCATTAGTGATGTTAACCACTTTTTATATGTTTGTTGCCCATCTTCTTTTGAGGATTTTCTATTCATGTCCTTACCCCACTTTTTGATGGGGTTGTTTTTATTCTCTTTTTTCCTTACTGATTTGTTTGAGTTTGTTTTAGATTCTGGATATTAATCCTTTGTCAGAGGTATAATTGAGTTTGTTGTAGATTCTGGATATTAATCCATTGTCAGGTGTATAGATTGTGCAGATTTTCTCCCACTGTGTGAGTTGTCTGTTTACTCTGCTGACTGTTCCTTTTGTCATGCAAAAAGCTCTTTAATTAGGTCCCAGCTATTTATCTTTGTTTTTATTGCATTTGCTTTTTGGTTTTTGGTAATGAAATTTTTGCCTAGCCTAGAAAGGTTTTTCCGATTTTATCTTCCAGAATTTTTATAGTTTCTGGTCTTAGGTTTAAGTCCTTAATCCATCTTGAGTTTATTCTTTTATAAGGTGAGAGATGAGGATCCAGTTTCATTCTCCTACATGTGGCTAGCCAGTTATCCCAGAACCATTTGTTGAAAGGGTGTACTTTCCCCACTTTTATGTTTTTGTTTGCTTTTTTGAAAATCACTTGGCTGTAATTATTTGGGTTTATTTCTGGGTTCTCTGTTCCATTGGTCTATGTGCCAATTTTTATACCAGTACCATGTTCTTTTGGTTACTATGGCCTATATAGTTTGTAATCAGGTAGTGTGGTGCCTCCAGATTTGTTCTTTTTGCTTAGTCTTGCTTTGGCTATGCAGGCTCTTTTTTGGTTCTATATGAATTTTGGTTCTATATGAATTTTAGTATTGTTTTTTCTAACTCTGTCAAGAATGATGGTGGTATTTTGACGGGGATTGTGTTGAATTTATAGATTGCTTTTGGCAGTATGGTCATTTTCACAAATTATTCTACCTATGCTTGAGCATGGGGTGTGTTTCCATTTGTTCGTGTTGTCTATGATTTCTTTCAGCAGTGTTTTGTAATTTTCCTTTTACAGGTCTTTCGACTTCATCAGGTATATTCATTTAATTTTTTTATGCTATTGTAAAAGAGGTTGAGTTCTTGATTTAATTCTCTGTTTGGTTGCTGTTGGTGAATAGAAGAGCTACTGAGTTGTGTACATTAATCTTGTATCCAGAAACTTTGCTGAATTGTTTTATCAGTTCTAGGAGCTTTCTGGAAGAGTCCTTACGGTTTTCAAGGTAAACGATCATATCATCAGCAAATGGACAGTTTGACTTCCTGTTTACTGATTTGAATGCCCTTTATTTCTTTCTCTTGTCTGATGGCTCTGGCTAGGACTTCCATGGCTCTGTTGAAGAAGAGTGGTGAGAGTGGACATCCTTGTCTTGTTCCCATTGTCAAAGGAAATGGTTTCAACTTTTTTCTATTCAGTATTATGTTGGCTGTGGGTTTGTCATAGATAGCTTTTATTTTTACATTAAGCTGTGTCCCTGGTATGCCAACTTTACTGAGAGGTTTAATCATAAAGTGATGCTAAATTTTGTCAAAATTTTTTTCTGCGTCTATTCAGATGAGCATGTGGTTTTTGTTTTCAATTCTATTTATGTGGTATATCACATTTGTTGACTTGTGTATGTTAAACCATCCCTGCATACCTGGTATGAAATCAGCATGATCATGATGGATTATCTTTTTGACATGTTGTTGGATATGGTTAGCTAGTGTTTTGTTAAGAATATTAGCATCAATATTTATCAAGGATATTGGTCTGTAGTGTTCTTTTTTGGTTGTATCTTTTCCTGGTTTTGGTATTAGGGTGATGCTGACCTCATAGAATGAATTAGGGAGGGGTCCTCCTTTCTCTATCTTGTGGAATAGCGTCAAGAGGATTGGTACTAATTTGAATATCTGGTAGAATTCTGCTGTGAATCCATCTGGTCCTGGACTTTTTTTGTTGGTAATTTTTAAATTAACCACTTTAATCTCACTGCTTGTTATTGGTCTGTTCAGGGTATCTAATTCTTCCTGATTTAAGCTAGCAGGGTTGTATTTTTCCAGGAATTTTTTCATCTCTTCTAGGTTTTCTAGTTTATGTGTGTAAACGTGTTCATAGTAGCCTTGAATTATTTTTTTGTACTTCAGTGGTGTCAGTTATAATGTCTCCTGTTTCGTTTCTCAGTGAGATTATTTGGATTTTCTCTCTTTTCTTGGTTAATCTTGCTAATGGTCTATCAATTTTATTGATCTTTTCAAATAAGCAGCTTTTTGTTTCATTTACCTTTTGTATTTTTTTGTTTCAATTTTATTTTGTTCTGTTCTGATCTTGGTTATTTTCTTTTTTTCTGTTGGGTTTGGGTTTGGTTTGTTCTTGTTTCTCTAGTTCCTTGAGGAGTGACCTTAGATGGTCCGTTTTTGCTTTCAGACTTTTTTATGTAGGCATTTAGGGCTATGAATTTTCGTCTTAGTATCACCTTAGCTGTATCCCAGAGGTTTTGATAGATTGTGTCATTATTGTCACTCAGTTTGAAGAATTTTTTAATTTCTATATTGATTTTGTTTTTTGCCCCAGTGCTCATTCAGGAGCAGGTTATTTAATTTCCATGAATTTGCGTGGTTTTGAAGATCCCTGTGGGAGTTGATTTCCAATTTTATTCCACTGTGGTCTGAAAGAGTGCTTGACATAATTTCAATTGTCTTAAATTTGTTGAGGATCATTTTATGGCCTATCATATGATCTATCTTGGAGAAAGTTCCATGCACTGTTGAGTAGAATGTGTGTTCTGCAGTTGTTGGATAAAATGTTTTGTACGTATCTATTAAGTCCATTTGTTCCTGGGTATAGTTTAAATCCATTGTTTCTTTGTTGACTTTGTGTCTTGATGACCTGTCTAGTGCTGTCAGTGGAGTATCAAAGTTTGCCACTATTATGGTTTTGCTGTCTATCTCGTTTCTTAGGTCTGTTAGTAATTGTTTTATAAATTTGGGTGTTCCAGCGTTAGATGAATACATGTTTAGGATTGTGATGTTTTTCTGTTGGACCAGGCCATTTACCAT